ATTGATGAGGTAATAAACATGCAACAGTATTAGGTTTTAGGCGAATAAAACTTTTTAATCGTCCACCGGGTGCATTTAATTTAATGACCGCCATATATCCGTTCGTATTGTTTGCATCACGCAATTGGAAATTAAAGCTAACATGTATATTTTATCGATGGCATTGTTCTGACGACGCCTTGCTAACGTTAGTTAAGGAGTTAAAGGGTTACACAACCATTTCAGTATTCATAGTCAACGCTCGTAAACAAATTTGTGTTGACCTCAAACATTCGGCATCTCCATCTACCAAATAATTTTATAATTAATCAAAGATTTATGGGACGTCCGGAAATAATTGGGCACTAAACCTATCTATTAATGCAATTGAAAAACTAAGAATTGCCGCTTAGGAAGAATGGGATCTAATTCAGCAAGAAACCATATAAGGTCTTCTGCGCGGAATAATTAAGGGGATGCAGGCTCGAGCTGGACGAGGAGATACTAAATACTCAATTAAGGATTCTGCATGTCCAAACGGCAATTCGTTGACCTTGTTCGGAACACTGTGTCGTTGAAACTGAAGTAACAGAATACAAATACGGAATTTAGGCAGTCGATGCAGTGAAGTGACGGAACCCTCCACACCCCAGGACCAAAAGTGGACCATTAGTCTCCCAAGACCCTCGAACGCTGTGTTTGTGTTGTGTGTTTAAAATAGAAGAACACAGTAATTCTTTTTCCAACCAGCTGCGCACCATGTACAGGGCAGCCGATGAATAGTACTAAGAGCTCAGTTCATTGAACCCGAAGAACTATGCAAACTACCCACGTACTGCGTAGAGAGTACACTGCTGTTCTTGGGGACGGACCGAAGATGTGAGGACAAAACGGATCTGAAGATCTCAATGCAGCGCCCTGATCGTTAAGACACCGAACGTTCCGCAAATACAATAAGATCGGATAGGAAATACTAAATTATCATTGTTTTATCTCAATTGATGTATTGTTGTTATTGTTCCTATTTTCAAATAAATCCTTTACAAATATATTGCAAAGCTTCGTTATTTAAAAAAATATATAACTTAATTTTTGTTTTCAGGTAATTATATGAATTTCATAATTTTTCATAAAAATACCTTCCGGCGAAAATTTTGACTCAAACCAAGACCATCTCAAAAAACTCTCCGTGTAAGTGGTGCATCACGAGGGAGAAGAGATTTTAATTTAATTATTTTTTAATTATGTATATAATGTTTATTCAGTATCCGTTGAATGGACGAATAGATATGCCTAAATCAAATTTAACGCTCGGAATAGACGCATGTAGAAATGCGTGAAGATATGCTAAAACGTTGATTTCATTTTCTTCGGAGTTTGTAACAGATTTTGGAAGTTCCCTTCTTCGTAGGTTTCGAAAATTTGCTTCAATACTTTTAAACTTTTTCTCATATATTGGTGGAAAACGCAAATATTGTTCATTAAATGTTCTGCACGTTGTTGAAACACTCTCCATAACTATGAAAATGCGGTAAAACGAGAAATCCGAATGTATCTAGTCAGTTAAAATGTGATTACTTCAATTCGCTTTAATTCCTATATATTTTGTTTTTTTGCGTATAACTAGAAGACCAGTGAAAATAAGTATACCATAGATAGTTTGATACTTTTAGATGGAAAATTAATTGCTCATTTACGTGCAAATATAAAATATGGGGTGTTTCATTTAAAATTCTCACGAAATATGGATTTTTATATCTTATCTTATTAATGTCCTGTACGCGATAAGTTAATTCTCATACTATATTATGATAAAACATTTTAATAGGTTGCGAAAAAAATTATTACTTTATATCGGATTGGTGGTTGCCAAATTTCTTAGAAAGTATGTTTTATCTCCAAAAGTGGTATGGTACATGTTACATCAAAGTTCCAGAAATGTGTCGCAGAATTCTGAAATGTAATAGTATACAGGGTATTCTGTTTAAAAGATGAAGGTTGACATACGTTACGATTATATCTGGCACCACCTCATGGCCAAAAATATTTTACATAGGTAGCTCATATTCGCTTACATAAGTAACCAACATTTCAGGATTTTACCGACACTCACCGCGCATAACCCTGTATAACACCAAAGAACTATAAACCTTTTACAAATTGAAACAGTCATCATTATTACCAACAAGAGCCTGTTATGAAAGTTCGCGAATGGCCTATAGTTATTGCGGCCCTCTGCTGTCAACCTTAGTGATTGCGGCTTTCCTTGCAGCGTAATGTATATAGTCATCCAATTCACGAACTAGTCAGCAATACTAGTGACCAACACAACCGTTTATGCATTCGTTTGTTGGAATCATTAAGAATTGCTGGCGTTGTACATAATATAGTTCTATCCGATGAGTCCGAATAAATGAAAATGAAGTTGGAAATATTGATAGTGACATGAATATTAATGATGCTGGAGAATACGATACAGCTACAGAATGAAATGCATATAATCTTAAACAAATGTCACTATATTAGACCAGAAGGATTAGGAACTGAAACTAATTAGCAATAAACAATTTACAAACAAACACATTTTAAAATGTGAAACTTTTATTATTAGCCAAATTCTTGCTTTTGAATGATTTTAAGTAAATCAAACCAATGAAAAATATTATATCTAACCAAAAAAAAAAAACGCTAAAGGACCATTTTATCCTATAATCTTGTCCCAACTTCTCATACTTCTCTCTTTTTTGAACAAAAGTGCATAAGCATGAAGGCATATACCGTTTTAGTCTGATAGGTATAATCGAAGCAGAGCCGTTATAATAGTTTCCCTGCGACTAGGAAGAAGGTCCTGTCAGAGGCGATCACCAACTTACTAGTGACTTAAAAAAAAATATGAAACGTAAAGTCTGTTCATTGATATAAGAAAGTGACTAACTGATACGAATTAAGGAAAGACCGGCGCAAGCTGTAAGAATGAAATATGGCCGAACAGGTCCGTACTTTGCTTAGAATTTAATTATTTGGAGTTTTGTTAGGAAATATACTACACAATATTTATTATATTTATTATAAATTATTTATTGTAATTATATTTAAATGTATTTATGTTTAAATATAAAATAAAATTACAAATTATTTTTATTACCTAAATCGCTATCGCTATCATCGCCTGTTCTAATTATTATTTGTTCTATATTATTTGCAATATGGATACGATTGTTCTGCTTTTTGTATATGTTTGACAGAATTTGCCCAACTTTGTGGAGGGATGTTAAAAACTTCGGTTTCTATAAGTTTGAGGACATTGGAGTTAACACGGGGAAAAACATTGTTACGACGAATGGCAGATTTCAGTTGGTGCCAAATATGTTCAATGGGATTAAATATACAGTGGTAAGTGGTAAGGTAAGGAAGCCTTAAACCTGTATGCCCTAGATTTTTTGCATAATTATCACCTCAATTAATTGCTTTTTGGTATAATCTTCGTGAAAATAAATGTCGTTATTATACATGTAGGTTTGGATTGTTGATTTTGTGTCATATGAGGAAGGGGTTTTAGTCAACTGTCTACTGTGATAACTTGCATTGTCCATTACAACAACGCTATTAGGAGTAATGTTTGGAACTAGTTTGTTTTTAAACCAACGTTCAAATAAATCAGCGGTGGTGTCTTCATGGTAATCCAGAGAAGAATCTTTAATATTTTTCGCAGACAGAGAAAGTCCATTTCGAATCCAACCATCTTTAGAGCCAGCATGCAAAATAGTTATTCCTTTACCTCTTTTTGATGGCGCGTTTGTTTTACACTTATCAGTTGAGTCAATACAACCCTTTTCCGGGGTATTATAAGTGTCGAACCAGGTTTCATCCAAGTAAATAATTGGCTTTTGTTGTTCTCTGTAAATCCTAATTTTTCCTAGACATTCCCCATTTCCGAATTCTAAAAGATTCCATTAAAACTAGCCTTTTGTCAATTTTTTGAAATCTAAAACTCATGTGTTGAATACACTTCCATAAGGTAGTTCTGACACATTTAACACCGGTTTTATCTTTTTCAAGCCTCCTAATTAAGATATCTAATGTAGACACGCTTTGTTCCTCGTATAACTGGTAAATTTTACGCCGCATTATATTTTGATCACTTTCGTCTACACTGGAGAAAATGTCAGCATCGCTTCTTTTTTTCCTCGCTGAAATGGGATTATTCACAATTTTCCACACAGTTGATGTTGGAATTTTCGTCAATGTGACCGTTTCTTCTAAAGATGCTTGCTTGCTGGCACCACGTTCAATGAGAGTCAAATAAAGATTGTTTATAACTTCCTTAGTCTCAATAGAATAATAAGTGTTTTCTACATTTGCGCGAGCATCTCCTGAGATACACTAGACACGCACATATTTTGCATAATTCGCACACGATTCAACACACGCTGTAATACACACGAAATAAGAATGATTACTAATAAACTTAAACTAAGTAGTATACCAAACCATAGAATATTAAACACAGGTAGGTATAAAATTATTTTCTATTACGGACCACAATTTTAGCTGAATTTAAATTCCGAAACTTTAGGTAATAATCTTGTTGCATTGTATGTTAATGACCACCCTTGGATAATCCCATTCAAAAGCAATTGGTCAGTTTCTTATACCTATGTACAGACCATACCTAACATTCTGCAATTTACCGTTCCTCCGGCTAGTCATATCATTAAAAACAATTTTTCTCCCAAACGACCCAAATCACTTTGTCGGTATTAAACCGGAATAAAAAAAAATACAACGCTCAGGATAAAACGACACGAATGTCTCGTCTTTAATACAAACGGTTTATCTTTCTCCCTTTGACCGGAATTATTACGTCCACGGAACGCGAAAGGACCATGGAAGTTCTTTGTGCAAGAAGATTTGGCGCACTCGAGAATCGGATGATTTGTTTCAAGACAATCGTCCGCCAGTGGCACACAATTCCCACAAAAAAAGGGGGATTCACAAAGGTAAACAATCCTTCGACTTACATACAACTTCCATTCGGGCCTCGCTTTGTGCTGACGCGAAAGATGGCGCTTCAGCAGACACCTCACATTTGAAGAGGCCGCTCGTTTTCCAGCTGACGGGGTGGAGTACCACTCTCCTGCTGTCCGACTTAGACATCTGCAATTAAAAGTAGTCCGCGTTTAATTTAAGTGGCTCTCGACGAGGATATTTACTTAGCAGGGCCTGGGGTATAATCTCGAGAAACGAATTAATACCGCGGGATGTTTTAATTAAAAATATACGAACCCGTCGGATAATAGATATACACTTTTATTCCGTTGTCGCGGAAACGAAACGATGTATAATTTGAGAGATTCTTCCGGAATAATTCGCCCGGAACCAAGTAGACTTTCCACTTTAAATTAAACATTTAGGTATGTACTTGTGCAATTAAGGCCGCGATTTGGAAAATCTCGCCGGTGAAATAATAGAGAGACGCGCTCGCCGGTCCCGGTAACCATACTTAATTTATCATTTTTAATTGGTGCGACGTCGTTACTTTAACAAAATAATATTTAATTGGTACAAATCTGAGCCCCGAACAACTGAAATCATGGAATGTGTATGCAACGATTTTATTACAAATGCAATTAAGAAAAGAAATCCACCGTCAAAATACGAAAAACATATCTCTTCATTACGTCTTTTAGATTTGATGCAAAAATATATTTTAAAAAACAAAGACTTCTAATAATTTGTTGAAGCAAGTAAATAATAAACTTCAACTGGATATTTTACAACTTCATTTTACTTTTGAACAACTGTAAAAATTTTATCCCTTACTAGAATTCTCTTAAAACGAGTGAGCAAAGTAAAAGATTTGGACTTGGGCTCCAGATTTTGAAACTCTTATTGAATCTATTTATGCTATGAGCTTTCAATGCTATGAATTTAGGTTTTATGCTATGAGCTTTAAAAATCTAAAATCATTAGTTATTTTATTTAATGGTTATTTCTTGTTGAGATTCATTGAATATTCCTCAACGGTTGGGAAACTTTGCTATAACCAATATATTAATGAAGTTGAAAATGTTCAAGGAAAAATCATTAACACGCTTAATGGGCAGAGATATTTTTTAGCTATAACCAGAATCTCAAATATAATAAAATAGAAGCACTAGAAGATGGTAGAAAATACCTGGATATACTTTATACTTTTGTCCAAAGAAAGATTTAACTCTCATCAATATGGGAACTATCCACTAGTAAAATGTCCTCGTTCATATAAAGCTTTGTGCCAAATTAATGACGGTGAATTGTGTGAAAATGCATGCATGATTTTTAGAAAAAAGCTGAAAAGTACATTTTTAAATGATTTTCCTTCCTGTATTTGTTAGATATACTCTTAGTTTATTACATTTTACTTATCTACATCTAGGGGTTAGTTAGTTATAAACTTCCTTAACCTTATAAAACAAAAACATATCTATTACTTACTTCCAAACTTTCAAACTTAAAATGTCGTCAAAATATATGTACAATACTTAAGAACTCTCTTAACTTGAAACACTTAAAATGTTAAGAGTCCAGTAGTTTGTCTTAAAACTTTTCCTCAGATTAGTTCAATAAGAGTCTAAAATCTTTTAAAACATGAGAAGAGGATCCTGCTAAAATCTGACACATTACATGTTTAGAGTTGCCGGAACGATATCTATTATTAGAACAAAAACTTATGGACCCTGTGACTTCTCGAATGACTTCTGCTTCCTCCTTTTCGTCTCTTTATGTTCTATTCAAAATAAATGTAATAATATTTATTTCTTTCAGCTTAGATCCCTTTCTACGATTACTCTTACTTTCTTTCTTGCAGTCTGCCTTCTTACGAGAGATACATTCGAAACATCTCTAACTATAACTAACCAAAGTTTAAAGTTTCTCATTCTATTCTGTTCCATTCTATCCTTGCTTCTATTAACTTTATCAACTCACGTAAAAAAGTTTTTGTAAAGGACGTAACGCCATTCTAAAGCCACACTAATTTTGAATTATTCCTTTGGAACACAAAAAATATACCTTCTTTATTTTTAATTTACTATTTACTACTTATTTTGAAATTTCTGTCGGAAGTCTCGTTTTAATAATATTAAAAAAATCAATGGAACGACACTATGCATTTTTTATCAGTAAATAAATCATTATCTGTCTGAATTACTGAATTACTGAATAAAAATATCTTGAATATATGCAGTCAGTGTGTTCAGAATTTAGGAAAATGCTACGGTGAAATTAAAATTTAAATTTCATTTCCAAAATAACTAACTATTTATACACTACTATTTAGTTTCAGTTAAGCTCTGAAGAAGCCAAAGGATGATTGGCGAAACATTAGCAAGCAATGCAGAAATTTTGTAAATAGTATTACAATGGCCTGTGGAAGTTTCTTTGAAAAGAAAATTACTATTCACCACACTACTAGTAACTTATATAACGCGACTATATCCGTCGATTATAAAATAACGATGGATTATTCGATTGACATGAATTTTACTTATCCGAAAGATAATCGTGTGGCATTACATTTTAAATATGATTTCTGGCATATGACCGCCACGGCTGGTGCGGATGTAGTCCAATTTGGACGTCCAATTTTCGATGACTTTTTCCAATATTTGTGGCCGTATATCGGCAATAACACGGCGAATGTTGTCTTCCAAATGGTCAAGCGTTTGTGGCTTATCCGCATAGACCAATGACTTTACATAGCCCCACAGAAAGTAGTCTAGCGTTGTTAAATCACAAGATCTTGGAGGCCAATTCACAGGTCCATGTTGCGCCGTCTTGTTGAAACCACATTTCTTGGACATCATGGTTATTCAATTCAGGAATGAAAGAGTTAGTAATCATAGCTCTATACCGATCACAATTGACTGTAACGTTCTGGCCATCATCGTTTTTGAAGAAGTACGGACCAATGATTCCACCAGCCCATAAAGCGCACGTGTTTCAACATACACTTGAGGATTAGCTTCGCTCCAAATGCGGCAGTTTTGTTTGTGGACGTAGCCATTCAACCAGAAGTGCGCTTCATCGCTAAACAAAATTCGCTTATGAAAATCGGGAACAACGTCAATCTCGCAATTGCACTATTTGCAAGCGTTGTTCAGGCGTGAGTCTATTGATGATGAATTGCCAAACCAAACTGAGAATAAATCACTTGACAGCTGTTAAATCGGTCGCCATCTTGAACAGTAATGCCAACTTATTACATCTATATATTTGCGCGTTTCGGTGTGTCTTCTCAACTGACTGGCGAGGGCGGAACTACGCTTTTATAAAATGCTTCTCTCGGTGGAATATTGGAGCTGTCTTTCAAAGAAGCTCAAGTTCTTGGAAATCAATCATACTATGAAATTTCTGTACTTTTTTTAACACAATATTGATTGGTTATTTTGGTTTTACCGTTTCTACACATCCCTATTAATTATATGCTCGAATCTAGAACACATGGTGCCTGACCAATGACCAATGAGTAAGTTAGCAACAGTGTTCCAAGCTGAGATCACCGCAATAGAACATTGTGCAAGAGATATAGAAATTAAATAAATTCGTAATAACACAATCTATACCGACAGTCAAACGGCAATAAAAACTAAGCAATCCAGCAAAATAACATACAAATTAGTTCTGGATTGTCCTGATAGCAAATCAGAATAAAGTGTCTGTTATCTAGTTATATATAAGTAGCCCGTCAAGGCTCATCAATGTGTATGATCAGACCAAAACCCTGTGGGGTGGCCAAACGCATTGCAAAATCAGCTATCACACAATAAATGCGATATATGGGAAGACAATCCCTGCAAGACCTGCTTTGCTACAAAAGACATCGAAAACTAAGACTAATGAGAGTGGAAGAAAACGCTGAATGCAGATACTACCAAGAAGAGGAGTAAAGAGCCATACACATATTATGTCAGTATGAAGGCCTATTGAGAGTGTTTCAATCAAAGTTACGGAGTCAGGCGAACCTGGATAACACTCTATAGCTATGAAGAGTAGATTCCTGGCTCTCACAATCTGAAATTTCAATCTGTGAATCTGACATGATGCCACTATTGTGTTTTGTCTCGATCCTAAATAGTCTTTTCGCTATTTGCCCAGCTATTTTCATAGCGGCGTAACTAACCGGCGCTGTTTAGATTTACTTCTCCGACTCTCGAGAGTTTGCCCTCTCAAAAGGCGCAAAAACTAACTTTATTTGCCATAAATATAACATCTATATCTAGAGGCTTGGTAATAACCGTAAAGGACAATATTACCTTAAATTTCACTGCCTAATATAATATGTTAATGTCTTATTTTCACATCGCGAGGTTTATACGCCTTTTCAGAGTTTAAAGCGACGCAATTTACTCGGCTTGTTTTGCAGTTAATCGCGTTTGGCTACATTGTTAGAAAATGTTCCGTTCTCACCCGACACTTGCCATTGCAATAAACTTTGTATTGAGTCATGTACCGTCTGCGTGTCATTTATGTTCGCAAGGTAGGTACCACATGCGGAAAACTAGCAATAATAATCGTAACAATTTGGGAAAAATGCTTTTACGGATATTAGTGATATAACATTGCACGAAATATAGTAAACTAAGATGTTAAAATTATACGCTTCTGAGAAACGATGATTAACACATAAATTAAATTTTGTATATAGTAAAATAAATAAATGTAAACGAACAAAACATTTTATTCATTATTTATTTATCCACTGATTAAATAAAAATTATAAAATAAAAAGATTTTTTTCCTGAAACCCATCGATTTGTGGTTATTTAATTTTTAACAATCTTTTAAATTGACAACATTTTTAAATTTATTCGCATTTGTAATTTTAACGCCAATAGATCATCAGCTCGCTGCGGAATTCCGGAACACACACACACACACACACACACACACACACACACACACACACACACACACACACACACACACACACACACACACACACACACACACACACACACACACACACACACACACACACACACACACACACACACACACACACACACACACACACACACACACACACACACACACACACACACACACACACACACACACACACACACACACACACACACACACACACACACACACACACACACACACACACACAC